TTGAGTTGCTTAACTGTAAGTAATTAATCACCTCCCCTCCCCCGAACGTCATACTGGCAGGTTTCCAAATAAAGACTATACCGCAGAAAAAGTTTGGGGCCCAAAAGAGAGTCAGCTAAGGACACGTTTGGGGAACACGTTTGAACACGTCATGATGGACATTTACAGGTGTAGGACCAGAACAGAGCCTCTGGTAAACAGTTTAGAACCAAGGGACCGAACTTGATTTGAGGACCAGAAGAGAGGCTTAACACACGTCTTCATTCCCATTCACCTCCAGCTAAAAATGACCATTCAGCTTTACGTCTTACACCACTACACGTCACCTCCGGCACAATTCTGACCAATGCTGATCTCCTCCGGTACCCCATATTACTATCGTCAATTCATGAAACCGAGAGAGCAATTAAGTGACGGCACATTGAATACAGTCACTAGGTGCATTTCGCTGAGTGTTTACAAGATCTAGCGACACATTTTTTCGCCATGCGTTCTAGTCTGATAAAAAAGGGGGTGTTTATGCTGAATTGGAGAATCTGGAGATGTGTCCCCAAATGGGGAGATTCTCGAGGAGACCGTTGTGAACGGAATGCAGGCATTTATATAATCTACGGACCTTGGTTCCTAGTAACGGTGGTCCGTAGGACCACCGTTTCTTAGGATTAGTAGTCCTAATGGGACCTGTATTCCTGTCATAAATATGGATAGGACTTCTATTTCTGGCGGACCTACATTCCGTTTACATTAGTGAGCGAAATGGGGGTCCGCCCTATTTTAATGTCCGTCCCTTTATATTACTACTAGGTAAAGGCCAGTATGCTTTAGTGAGTATGCTTTAGTGAGCATATATACTTACTCCGTAAAGTAGCCGATTTGCCGGTTCGTCTCTCTGGCGTAGTGGTTAGGCAGTGCAACAATGTGAATAGAGATCTGTATCTTAAGGTAATTTGATGGGTGTTCGCATCCCTATAAGACTGAAGTTGCGTTTTAAAATTTTGTGTGATTTTTATGTCTTTGTCATGTTTGCTGGTCATTTAACTTTGCCACGTCGGATAATTTTGATTGGTTACAGATGTCACGCGCTTTCTTGCACTGCTATAAATACGTTCATATTCTGCTACCTCACCCTCACTTGACTTTGGATATGTAAGGGACGAGCAGCACCCATGCTAGACCCAACATAGAGGTCATATTTCAGTATCTTCAAGAGGGCACATACTCGATAGGCACAACACCGACCGAAAAGAATAATTCGAAGAACTAGCAAGTCGAATTATAAATAAGCTTTCATTTACAGTTACTTATCATAATGTTCAAAATACACATTATTTTCGTTTACAGAGGCCATATAAGCTTACATACAGACATACATTCCCAGGAATGTCAGTCCGTCAGACCTATGCTCCTGGAAAGTGTCTGGTATTTAAGGTCCGGGGGACTACAATTTCCGGGATTTTAGGTCCGGGGGACTACTGTCTCTAGGATTTTGGGTCCGAGGACAAATATTATTATTGCTTTTCTCCGTCAAACTTCACTTACAGAAGAAAAGGTCTGTCATTAATTTAAATTTCTGAATATATATAATATTGTAATGATTATTTCAGATTAAAATAATCATTACAATATTATATATTGTAACGATTATTTCAGATTGAACATGACAAGCTATCACTGAGAATAAAATCGGAGTCCAAGTGACTCCAAACATGGAGTCCAGCAGTGGTGCCTAAAATAACTCCCAATTGGAGTCTAGTTGACTCCGATGGAGAAATGCCATCCCAGACGCCACAGGAGGGTCACAATTGACTCCATTCACGCATCCCTCCATCCCTTGATTTATCTCTACAAAAGAGTCACCATGACCCCATATTAAGGAATTTTTGACTCCTTGGCACATCATGAACAAAAACAACATCACCAGTGCCAAGGGGAGAAACGGAAAGTATCGTTCATTCCTGACTGTTATGTCTCCGGACGGGCTGGAACCCACGTCCTCCCGCGAAGAGGCGGCCACCCTAACAACTAAGCCATGCGGTCACATGTGATGTGTTTTAACATCACAAATCACAAATATACCAATGAGTGAGCATATCTCTCCACTGACATGCATTGGTGGGTCAAACCTACAACCTGGAAACAAAACCTGCTTGACCTGTGTACCAACATATCACATAAAGGGTGTGGCAACTGAAAGCCCAGGTCAGTAATAATTAAGTGCACGAATTCTGCATGCAGAAACACACAGAAAATCACTTGTTCATGCATAAAACCAACTATGGCCAATAAAGTAATGTTTATACTGACAAAGGATGATGAAAACTGTTCTCTCCACGCCGTCTGCTCACTGCCATCACAAGTAATGAAACGAAGCTTACTGTCCAGCGAGCAAAAAGAGTCGGTGTAAAGAGTCAGCCAGACACTGGCCCCCGATAATTTGACTCTGATTTTATAGTAAGATTGACTCCATGAGAGCCAGGGGGTGATTGACTCTGATAAGAGAGTCTAAAACTCTGGTAGTGGGGTAATTTGACCCTTTTATAGGAGTCAAATTAACTCCATGAGGGTCAAGGGGTGCTGGACTCTGACTAGAGAGTCAAATGACTCCAATTGTATTCTCAGTGATTTTATAAAGTAAATAAGAGGAAAGCGAAGGACGTCTCGGATGACGGACAATGCAAAAATGATAATGGTCATGATGATAAACTTTGGCGAATAGTCGTAAGGTGGAAAGCAGGAAGATCTCTGGCTAGGGGAGTAGTAAAAAGAATATCAAAATCGGGAGCGTACATCCTACAAATTGAAGGGGATGCACCTTTAAAGGTGCCGTCAACGGCTCCAATTTGAAAATTTATCTGAGAAATGAATAGGTCTACTAAAATGAAAATAACTTTATTACAACTTCTTACGTGTTACTTTTCATAATTATTTTTTTCATTCAGTTTGTGAATATCAATATAATAAAGGATATCACACCGGTCACTTTAATACACACATATTATTATTTATTATATGTAACTTCCATTTAAGTGTGAGAGAAAAAGTCAAATCGGACATACAGTCCTAGTATAAATCAGGAAAACAGGTCCCATCCGGATTTGCATTCTTTTCAATGGGACTTACATTCCTTGGTAACTGTTGTCCCAAGGACGTTAAATCCTAGTAACGTATGTCCTAGGACATCCATTCCTAGAAACGCTAGACCTAGGACTTGCATTGTCGGGTCAGACTTGCGTTACTAGGACTACCATTCGGTTCACACCGTTCCCTCGGTTATAGACGCTGAGGAGTTTTCTTCACCTACCACTACACCCCCTCGGTACGGTCCTCATCAGACATTGTCTGCGATGTCACCACCTGGCACTGTGCAGTGCTTTTAAATGTTTCTCCTTATATATTTTTAAGATATTTTTTTTTATTTGGACCTCAATTACGAGGAAATGCCAACACTGTTATTATATTCAGTTGTTATAAACACTGCTGTTATAAACACTTAGCACACACCCAATCATCAAATGTGATGAAGTAAATTAAAAAAACGTGCGGCTTAAAAAAGATATTCATATATCCTGTTTACATGTATGTATGGATATTAATAGCTCCGTCAACTTTGTTTGCGCTTGCAAACTAGGTACCCAAAGCCGGCAACGTGGGGTGTTTATATGGCAGGCAGCTGGATGTTATCTGATATAGCTAGATAAATTTATCAAAACCTACCAAGGACTTCCTATTGCCTTGATTGATTGACTCAGTGATCGGTTGATTGCTTGAAGACTAAATATTGTTTGTGGGTCGTGAATTTGATAATAAGTTAATTAAGAATGTCAGTTTGTCTATTAGTAACATTATCCAAAATTACGGATGAATTTTGATGACGTTTTCAAGGTAGGACATAAATGTATAACATCTCGGTGGTGATTAATAAATTAATAGTTAATAGTTAATATTAACAGTTTTTTTTTTCAATAAAAATGCAACCCCGAAGGTTGAAGAAGTACAGTTTAAAAAAGAAAATTAAACATAATAGACTGAGGTAAGTAACACTTAAAAGGGACTTGAAATTTTAAAATCATTTATTGGAACTTTAAAATTGTTGTTCTTCTTTATGATCGTATCTTTCTTTCATGCAAACAATGTTTAGTTTATATTCTGAATTTTGAAATAAAATCCCAACCCTTATTTAGTGTTGTCTTTCTTAGTTATGGGGTGTTGAGTTTATGGACCTCTACCTATAGGACATATTGATTACTTAAACCTGGGTAGCCTATATGACCCTTACAGCTCTTTTAGGATATATTCAATAAATTCAGAGTTTTATTAAGTCCACCCTGGGCTCCGTATCTCGAAAGGTTCGCTATGTTGCGCACGTGTGTTAGTGTCTCGATTCCATAACCGATTCTATTTCGAGATACTGGGCCATGAAATCGAGACTCACTTGCACGTACGCAAGTGTCTCGATTTCATGGCCCCGTATCTCGAAATATTTCGTGTGAGAAAGTGCACTGTAATCAAACACACACACACACACACACACACACACACACACACACTAGTTTATGCAATAAACCATATATGTAGTCCTAATGTACAAAGTCACTGTAATCGCTAGTTTAAAAAGTTTCATGAATGAATCAGTAAATCGAGGGTGGGGGTAAGTGGGTCTATCCTTGATTTTACATACTGAAAGGTTAAGTCTAGCTATCGTCCCAAAATATTATATATTAAATCTACTTAACATCAAGATATTCTCAATATACAGTGGGTTTCCAGCTGGGATAGGTGGAATCAAAGGGATTCTCCCTTTTTGTTATATATGTACCCCAGAGTAGCTAGTGGAAAGTTGTGTATCCGTCTATGTACAAGTAAATGAGTTGTGAAAATGTTCTCCTCCCACAGCAATGGTAAGAAAGATATGCACGTCTTGCTTGTACTGTATGGACTTAAAGGTAAATGTACACATAGTGTAAGTTAATACATTTTACAAACTTCAATTATGACAATGCTTTAAGCATAACTACATTATTCGCACGCTAAGTCTTTATTACCTTGCTTCTACTCAAGGTTGATCTCCCCGGGATAAATATGGAAATGAAAGTGAACAAAACGGTAATAAGGTGTTTAGTTAAAAGTCTGTGGAGCTGTATGATCGCTCAATTGAAATTCATTGTTTTCGTTATTAATTTCTGCGGGAGCTTGTTCATAGGAGGGACCACAGTCATTTTGTTGTTCGTTCACTATAGTTTTTCGTTTCTTCCTTCTTCTTTTCTTTTTGATTGTTTGTTCACCTACATTTTGGTGAGTTGCCGTCGGTTCCTGTATATTCGTGTCACTAACCCATGAATGCATGTGTTTATCTATTGGCATGTCAGATGTAGGGCCTGTGGAAATGAGGAACTCTTCCTCCCCCTCAGTAACGCACCGTTCTTGTAGTGGCGGTGCTGACACCACATTTCTTGAAGCAAACTCGTAAGTTAAACTTTCTGACTGAGTACTGAGTGCTGCATGGAGGGGTTCAGGATGTTGAAGTGCTGGCTTCCCATTTGCGTCTGACCAAGATGCCGTGTTGTTCAGCTCTACAGGCAAGGCTTGGGGTAAGGGTTCTATCAGAGTGGTGCCGTGCGTCGGATGTGCCGAGCCCGCATCTTTTACATCATATGAAGCATTTACTTGCGCTGCATCCGCCTGGACAGCGTAGTCAAAATTGTGAAACAAGGTTTTTGGGGGAGGATGGTTAGGCGTCACATTTTTCGAAGCTTTGTCGTTTGCATCCAACAAAGGTACCGTGCTGTTCGTATCTACGGATACACCTGGTACGGATAAGGATTCTATTGAAGTGGTGTCGTCTGCAGTGCCTGCATCTTTCAGATTATCTGGAGCATTTACTTGATTGGTTTGGTTGGAGTAGTCAACATTATTTGGCACTGAATTTTGGGGAATGTTATCAGGCTTTAAAATGCCAGAAGGTTGTGCTCCTCCGCTTTCTTCTTCAAAGAACAGAACGTTAGTTGCTGATTGCTGATTTGTGCCTGGAGACATTCTTTTCCCGTGAGCAGGCAAACCTGACATTGTAGTGCTACTTCCCTCTGGACTGGTATAAGCAGCAAGATCCCTAGAGCTTAAAATGTTTTCCTCCACCTCAGTAAGTTCATTGACATGGTTCACGTGCTTAATCCCAGTTTGTTGAGGATCACTCTGCTGTTTAATCGGTGGCGTGTTATGACCAACTTGTAATGGCGGTAATGGTTTCACGGGATCTGAAACGTTCTGTGAAGTTTGGGGCGCCAACTTGTCATTTGCGGCCAACTCGGAAGCTGTGTTGTTCGGATCTTTGGGTTGCAGTGACTTTATCAGGTTTGTTCCGTAGGTCGGATGTGTTGCACCTGAATGCGAGGTTTCAGCGTGAAGTGGGGAGTCAAGCAACGAAGCATCTTTCTTGTCAGATGTATTACAGAATGAAGGCGACGCCTCATCGAAGGCCTGCCTAGTCTCAGAATCACCTGCAGAAGGAGGTATCGCTCTTCCATTCTCCACTCCAACATTGTTATCCACGCTATCAGTTTCACAGTCACCGCTTCTATTTTCAGAGGTTCCTGAACCAGCATTATCACCACTATTATTCAAAGGGTGAACTCTGTTTTTGCCAAATTTCAACGAAGAGGCTGCTGTCGATATGTAGAGGATAAGAGTCCAAAATCGGTGCCAAAGCATACAAATAAACTGTATGATAGTCACCAGAATGAATAAACTGAGAAACAAAAGGCTTAAGACGTCTGACTTTTGTTCGTAGCCATTGTGGTCATGCCAACGAATAAATATATCAGACTGACTTTGTATGAGGATCGTAAAAGCTATCCAGACAGCGTTGCAAAAGATTACAAATGTCATGGAGTTGTTGCGCAGTGTTTTTAAATCTTTTTTCAGTGTCTCTTCATCGGCGTTTTTGTCTATGGGCTCAAGACGGAACTTTATCAGGTGCTTCCAGAAAGTGTACTCGTAATTGTTTTGCTCTTTTAAGTTTATGGTTGTTTTGGTTTCCTTGTGCCACATATGCGTACTGAAGGCGCTGGTCCATGTGAATTCCTCGAATATCAATTCTCTGACTCCTGGAAAACATTAACAACGGTGTATACATCATCATCATTGTAGTGGGAATGGTTTCAACACACACAAATTGCAACTATTCCTCAACCTTTTACCTGTAATCTTTACTTTTACTTAAGATACGTCGCAATAATATAAAGACCCTATAAATATATTTAATAAATGCATTTTTTTCAAAATAAATGTTTAATATCTTCATTAAGTTACTGTTATGTAAAAAAACCCGCATCATTAAGGCTCTAATAAAACGAGGTATTAGATACACGGTAGACTTCAAAAATTACAAAAAGAATAGCATTCTGCGATATGGTTGTTTTCATAAAAGTAAAAAATTAAGAGTTCATTTCTTGTAAATTACCAAGAAATTAATATGATAGGTGATAATTATACATTAAATGTACCACATCACCTCTGCTGAAATGCATCCTAACCTTAATGCATTTTACTTACTTGGCTCTATTAATATTTATTTTCGATATATTTTTCTACCTTTTGTCTCAAATGAATTTTATGGAGATAGGCACTTACTCGTCCATTTCTTTGCTTTTTGTGGAAGCAAACCAGAATCCTTCTCAGCTTTTGCCTGCTTCGGTGATGCTTGGCTGGGGGGTTCGTTTTGCTTTTGGCTTTCGTCTTTTTTTCTACAGCGACATATACAGCCAAAAAAAGAATCACAGTTAAATTCATCTTCACTGCCTTGAGTAACTTTCCGAGGCACACCTCCTTCACTATCATGGACAATTTTTGGGATTTCTCTTGTTCCCCATGACACGTCGTTGAGATTGGAAATTGAGTAAATTGTTAAGAATACGTACATAGATGGAACGGCTATGAAATAAAAAAGTCCGTACAAAACACAGAAGAGCTCTTTTGGGTGTAGAAGTGCCGTTGTAACAAAAAGTGCCACCAGGGTTAAAAAGATAAGAGATGACATACTCGCAATGTTTGTGCCCACTTCCACTATTATCCCAACGAGTGTGGCTATCATGAGAAGTGCATAAATACCGCTGAGAATCGCTGCTACGTTCAGCTGAACATTCTTGGTTTGTGTAAATGAAACCCAGATGTAGAATATAATTGGGAGGAGGATAATTCCGTTGGTTACAAAAGAGCCTGCAGTGTCGTTGCTCAGGTTTGGTATTAAGAGGGTCGTAATGGACGTTGATATGGCCATTAGAACTGTGGCAGGACCAAGCAAAGATGATACCAGAAGAAGAGCTTGGTACAAGATAAAACCAAACGTTATGTTATCGTTTACGGTGGAGGTTTCCCAGCCGTTAGATATCAAGTCGTACAAGTTGGCAATCGTTGACACGCTCCACCGTCGCCGTTGGTTGTAGAACTCTGAGAATGTTTCCGGCGCATAGGTCCAAGCATCAGAGGCCGCACAGTATTTGATGCTCCGGCCGTTTTGAAGCAAGAGGGTACACAACCAACGGTCTTCTCCTTTGAAATTAAAGAAATGATTTTTGGTTTATTTGAATTCAGTTTGAACAGGTTTATTATGTAACATTAGTGTACAAAACTCTGAATTACGCATTGATACCAATAATGTTGGAAAACTTCAAACATTCCAGTCACTGCGCTTCGTTTAATCACAGCTTAACATTCCGTGTTACTAACTATTTCTCTTTTTTTTTTATACCTTGATCAAATTGTAGATAGTCGATTGCTCTCTTTGGTCGCTGGGAGTAGATGTCTATCACTTCCATCACTGCCTTTCCGCGAAACAAACTAAAACAGCCAGGACTGCACAGAACGCATCCAAGAACATGTTCTGCGCTCTTCTGTAACCAGTGACCAATGGCGTACTCGAATTTCTGGTACCATACCATAGGTCCTACAATAAATCAAATGGTACTTCATATAACTGACCATATCAATTGAAGCTGTTTTCTTCTACATAATGTAAAAGAGAGATGTAAAGAGAGATAAAATGGTCTCAAATCAAAACCGTTTATCTGTTTCAGATGTGTTTGAATTCTTATGACGAGAAAAGCATAGATATGTTTAACTATAAAGGTACTTGAAAGACACAATAAACATGATTTTTACCGCTGCCGATTGGATGGATTCGTCCACAGGCAGCTCCCAGTTTCTTGTCTGACGCCATCTCTTTCACCAAGCTGGTCAAGGCATCTGCGTGGAAATCAACATCTCCGTCCAGAGCCAGCAAATACACGTTGTCCAGGTCATTTTCATCGTGTTTTTTGTCTGGGTTCTTCGGGTTTGTGTTATACTGCAGGAGGTAGTACATGTACATCACCTGAAAAAATACCACAAACTGTATCATACTTAGTCGCTATATATATATTTTTTTTATTTAGATCGTTGTGACACATTTCACATTTACCAGTACATGAGATTCAAATATACATGTATTTCAACACAATTGCGTTTCGCTCCTTTTCAATTCTTTTTCAATATGCTATTTTTGTATTTTTTAATATTAAAATTTACGAAAAAATTACCTGGCTCCATCGTTTTCGGTGTCGAATTTTATCTTTATCCTTTAAATGGACATACAAGGTAGTATTATTCATCTTAATTTCAAGTCTTCCACCATATGGCGTCCTGGTAACTTTGAGGCAGGTTGCTGGGTTGTGTGTATTGCCATTTACATGTACAGACGTGGATGTTTGCATCTGTACAGTGCCACATGAACTTTTTGATACCGATCTTCTATCCTCCCAAGCTGCTTTATGCCCAGCATTTGTTTCAGTCGCGGGTGTTTTTGGTTCTGTTTGACTGTGTTCTTCATCTGAAGATCGGGTTGCTTTGCTAATTTCCTTCATGACCCTTTCTACAATTTCATGATCAACATCTTGCCTGTAAATTAAAATTAGATAATTTCATATTTAAAACAAGTGGACAATGTCATCACCCTTCTGTGAGAAGAATCAAGAAATCAAAACTTTTTTTGTGTATTTGCTTGATTTCTTACCTGAATACGTCCTCAAGTGTTATTCGGAAAAAACTGTTAACGTAGTTGTTCACAATCCTTCGTTTGTATTGGGTTTTGACTTCTTCTTTAGTTCCATGGGTTGAACTCCTAGGATCGGGTGCATCTTTACGGGAGCTGGCGTCTTTGGTTGCCTTCATGTTTTCAATAGTATACGTGAAAGCATCGTCGAACATTATGTGTGTCTCATAGTCGAAGATAGAATCTTCCTTTTTGACAGCGCTATCGAGTCTACAGATGCAAATATGTATATTTTAAATAAGTTTGAATGATTTTAAACCTTAAACTTAAATAATTTTCACTCTTAAATCACTCAGATATATTTAATGGAAAAAATATCGACAGGAATCTGCAAAATAAATCTTTTAATATTTAAAATATGAAATTGATAAATGTTAAAAAATGGAAATTTTAACTAGCTAAGAAAAATACAAAACAAGGCCTACCTTATAATGCTGGCAAGCATTTGTCGCATTTCAATCTCGGATTCATGCCACATGGTTCCACAAGCGTATACCATCGGTTTCTTTTTCCCTGAATCTTCACCGGTGGGGATGTGTGCAACATCCTCGGCAGAATCAACATCACTCCCATCTTCACAGGAAGGGATGTGTGCAACATCCTCGACAGCATCCACATCGTTCCCATCAACATCAACATCTTTTGGTAGTCGTCTGCGAAACATGAACGACTGCTCAAGGAGAATACCGCAGTACAGAGGCTGGATGAATATCCATTTCAAGGAGGGTATGGCAGTTTTTCCAAGAGAATTCCACACATGTCTATTTAGAAAAAGATGAGAGAGGAGAAGGGCGATATACAGCCCAACCTGAGCCCAAAGGTGCTCGGGATTGTTGGGATCACAGTTGGGCGATAGGCTGCCCACCAGCCATCTACGTATGACACCCCCTAGTGTCTGGTCAGGAGTGTATCTCTCAATAAAAGCCAATGTCTCCTTACTGCACAGAGGTATGAATACAACTAATGGGGACGCAACCATGGATATCAGAACACTGATGTAGCCGAGCTTAGGAATGCCCATGGTGCATGTTAAGAATATTGATAAATAAGATAGCAAGGCAGCAAAACCTAGAATACAACCTACGCTTATTAAGGCCACTCTCTCTGTTTCATGAACAGATTGATCTGAGGTAAAAAATCTCTGAACGTCTTCTACAGAAAATCCGTTCCAGTACAATATGCCTAATGTGAAGCATAATGTTGCAATCATTTTAAAAAACATAACGTAGGAATAAATCAGCGACCTGTGTCTTCTCATTTCTGTTTTAAAGTTCTTGATAGGTACTGATATGTAATTCTTTGCATCGGTATTGACGAAGTTTTCCCACCAACCGAACGAAATTAGCAGAATTGCGACCGGTAAGGCCCAATCTCTCGATGGCGCAAAGTTGCGAAGGCTTTGTGAATCCCAGTTCCAGGGAATGCAAATGAACACCACGCATCCTAACTGAATTAATACCACCAATATGTCAAGCAAAACGTCGCGAATCTTCATCCCACGGGACTGTCTGTCGGATTTGATGTGAAGAATCAGCAACAGTAAAGTGGGTACAAAGCCTGTGGCGTAGAATAAGGGCATGATGTCCAGCGTATGGACTTCAGGAAGCGCTTTGAAAACGAATAAGCACATCCCACCCGTATGCAGGATTTCAGGAGTGGCAGTCTGAAAAAGAAAAGTAATAATTTAATATATAATATATTCATTTTCAAAGAGTGAAGATTTCACTGCATGAGATCCTAAAATTGCTATCTTGCACCTGGTGAAATGGCATCGTTTCCAGCTGCTTATACAGGTAAATATCACGTATGCCACTTAGAGAATATTAAAGATGCATGATAAGGGAGAGTAATTAAGTTACATATTTTTAGTTTATCAGCTTATCACTCAGTTCAAAGACCAGCAACTGCATTTACAATCACAGCAACCGCATTCCCTTAACATCAAATTAAGTCAAATTAATGTCACATAATTTTAAAAGCTGTTGTTCACTTATAATCTTAACCTTATTACTCCACAGATTTTGCTGGTGGGGGAGAAACGAAGATTTAATTTGATTCAATAGAGACTCCTTCCACCACCTCTGCTCAAACGACCAGTGAGAATACCATTGGTTTACACAGGCCTATTTCAAAACATCCTATAATATTGATATGGAGTACCAAAAATGAAAGAAAGTTTGAGTAAAAACGACTATCGATTTATAACGAACTGTCTGTCAGTCTTCATGGCAGGTGTTCAAAAACAATGCAGCTTTCACTTTTGCGCGACTTAATCTCAGGGCTATATCCAAAATCTATATTTACCTTTTGTTCAACACAGACGTTGCTAACAACGACATGGGTTAGTAACTGTGCTTAGCGTGCGTAGTCGGGTGCTTAGTTACGTTTATGTAGACGTGTGTTTCATAACATGAAATGAAAGCGACCAGTAGTCAATAAACCCGACTTAAAGACAAGAGTTTAACGGCATATTGGAACAATTATCTACTGAAATTAAAACACGACGAAGGGAGGTTAACATATATACACACCTGAAGCATATTAAAACTGCAATTGGTTATATAAGTAATGGGACGGAGAATATCCCATCACAGAAAAAATGTAATTTTTTTATGTATTCATAATTTTTCTGAAATGGAAATGAAATAATACATTTACCAACTCCGAGTTTCGGTTGTGTTCCCAATTTCTTTCTCAAGGGCGAATAAGCCAGCTAAACTTAACACATCTATAGACACCCTATGTGCTTTTCAACATAATATAAAACTGACACAATTATACAGAAATATACAAACAACATACCACCGTAACAAGAGGAGATATTCAAGGTTACGCTAGGATTTGTTACATTTTTTCTTTACAAATTTATCAGAACACACAGCAACAGGTGTACGTATCTATTCTAGATTTAATGATATGAGGGCTCCTTGTTTATTGGGAAAAGCGCTTTTTTGCATCTACCGGCCTGACAAAAATACTTATCAATGCTTTAATTTGTACTTGTGAAAGTGTACTGTACAGGGACACAACCATATACTGGCACATAATGTTATTTCTACTATTCTGATAAAAATACCTAACAATATTTTAACTTGTCTCATAATGAAGTACCTGTACATGGATGAAATATATGCAGGCATGTTTTTTAATCGTTTATTTCAAAAAAGCACTTATAAATACCAAATTCTACACTAACTTTAATTCTATCATAAATCAATATTTCTAACTCTCTCCACAATTTTGCAATTACTCTACAAGAGAAAAATAAGTGTGCTATATCTTCCTTTTCTGATCCACACAATATACAACTATCATCTTCTGTGACCCCTATTTTCTTTATGTATGATTTTACAGGGATGATCTGAATAAAATTCTGTCCTGACACCATTGTGTTTCTGTCTCTGAAGTACAGGTGGCCTTAAAGCATTTGGTATAAACATATTTCCAAATAATGTCTAATTTTAGGATTGAATTCCATTTCTCTTCATTTTTTCTTTTAGATGTATTCAAACTGAGTAAATTATAAAAAATCCTGACTACCCTTTTCATAATTCATTAAGATCCTAATAGCAGTTGGTACGTATGTATGGATTTCTGACAGGGTCTGTGGGATGTAATTTATACTTCATTACTATTGCCTTAACAGCTATACATAGTCCATGATACCTTAGGTAGCATACATTTTGGATGTTAAATTTCTTTGCAAATGCTTTCCTGTCTAGGATATTATCCTCTTTATCCAATATATCCCCAATTATTTTAACACCTTTCTTATGCCAGTATTTAAAGTATACTGTATAGTATCTTATTTTACTTTTACTACTAAATCGTGAAGGTAAGGCCCAAAAGATATCCTTGTCTTCTGGCACAGCACTAATAACTTATTTCCAAATCTTTCCAAAAAGCATTATTATTTTCACACACGATTATACCAAAAAAAAAATCATCCCCAAAATCAATTTAAATTTAAATTTTAATTTTAATTAAAAAACGTTTAATTATACCAGGTTCACATTATGCTTGATTAAAATGCTTGACCGGTGTCCAACTCAATCTTCTTATCCATGTGGATTTTAGAGCACCAATGAAGCTATCCTAATCTAACATTTTAGAGAAATGGAGAAGCCATAAGTTATCACTTGTTTAATTTTATCAATCTTATTATTCCAGGTAAAATTAAAAACAAGTTTTTTATTTTTTTTATACAATAATTATCTGGATTTGGCAAGCATATCAATAAACGGGTCAGTTTAGATATAACTATTGTTTTAATATGTATTAATATTTTTATATTGATTTTTATAGTAATTTACCCGAAGAGTATTAATATTCTATTATTCCACTGCTGCGAGCTTATTTTCACGTTTGCTATCTGTTTATCATAGTTCAGTTTTACAATGTTGTTACATCAAATTCTATGCCCAACAGATTAAAAAAGCTTTACCCTAAGTCAATTTCCATTTATTGTGTGAATAAATATCCGAACTGAACTCTTTTGAGCCTATCCACACTAATTTTGTCTTGCTGCTATTTTTCCTTAATCCAGACATTCAAGTATTCCAGAATACAAAATGCAGCATCAGGAGAATTTTTGAACCGTGTAGTGTTAATACACTTCGAAAAGTTTCTGTTTTTATCATAACCAAATAAATGCATTTACCCCAAAAATATAACCAAGAGTACTTTTGAAGAAAAATAAACAACCCGTTCCCCTCTTTTTGCCATTCTGTTACATTAAATATACCCCTGCATAATATTGTCATTTCTTCTATCTTACGTCTTATTATTGTACGTCTATATTCGGTAGAATTGTGTATTTTTTATAATACACTGTAGTTTTCCTGAGGAGCTTCAATACATACAAACCCCCTGACATCATAAAATTTAAGATCAGCTCTTAGTCACTTAGTCAAACCATAAAATCTTACAAAACAAAAATTTACATGTGTCAAAAATATATTTAAAAAAAATACTTACCAGAACAATTAGGAAAATAATCCTTTTTGCAAATGCTCCAAGCGGCATTTTTCGGTCCCCAGAAACGAAGGCGTCCGGCGGTTGGTCAGAAAAGCCCTGTACCATGAATTTTGTCCCTTTTTTACGTGCTGATTGAAAGCAGGCGGATGTAACAGATCCAATGAATCCAAGAACAACGGGCGCAAGCATACTTCCGAGCAACAGACAGTACCATCTTAGTTTCTCGATTTTTTCAAAGTTTTCAGCATCAAGCGCTGTAACATTGTCTGATATACTATCAGTGAAATGATAATATGGATCTGTCCTGTTTTCTTTTATTTTCGAAATAGATACAACAATGAGAATCCTATAGGAAGTAACACCCGCGATAATGATGACAAGTGTCACTATGCCAAACAGGAGCAGAGAAATCACAGAGCAGCATTTGTCCACGGTACTTTCTTCGTCGTCGGTTTGTTTTCTAATCTTAGGCTTCTTCCGAAATGCATGGAAGTCGTACGTCTGTCTAAATTAGAAAACAAGGAGATATGCTTATACATGTATTTGATTAACCTGGTGCATCTGAGATTTTGGCTCATATTTTGATATTCTAGATGTTCATTCATTGATTCTTTTTTCGTGCTATGTAATAATAGAAGTAGGCAAGAGGTACAGAACAGCTGATTGATAGACGAAGGACCGGTACGCCTGTTGGACGAAGAGAGATGGCTTTCATGAGTCTGCACCAGGGGCGGATCCAGGATTATTTGAAGGGGGGTCCACTAATGTGACGCTTGGCGGGCCACGAATTTTTTTTTTTTTTTTTTTTTTTTTTTGTATTTTAGAGGGCGAACGGTGCCATTTGGTCCTATAAATCAGCTTATCAAAAATCTAATCCCTAAAGGGGAATATTAGTGTGGTTTTTTCAGAAACCGAAGGTGGGGTCAGGATCCCCCTGACACCCCCCCCCCCCCCACACACACACACACTGGTCTGCACACACTTTTATTCAGGACGATTAAATTTTAACTAAAATTTAGGCGGAAGGGAGGAGGAAGGGAGATG